TTGAAGTCCTCTTTTTCTCGGATGACTGATCAGTTCATTTACTGCCTAATAGAGCTCTTTTAACTGCTGCCCTTTTTAGAGAATTGTTTTTGTCATATATTCGTGTAAAGATTTTGCTCTAGTGGAACTCCTCCAGTGGGACACTGTGGACTGGCTTCCTTCGATAGCTCTCTTGGTAGAGCGCTGGACTAACATGGGAAGCTTTAGGTCACTGGTTTAAACCTGCATCAAAGGTGGCTGTTGATTTAACTAATGGATATCTAGATAGATGTTTACATGAATGTTAACTCCATATTTCACTCTGTGGTATTAAATATTTATTTAACAGAATGTATTTGCACACCTTGAATCCCATTACATAAGCAGAACTCCACTGGAATATCTGTTTGGTACTGCTTAACTAGTCAACATACTGTATGCAGCATTGAGCCCATAGCTTATACTCATTAACTACTTGTTATGTGTAGTTAATACATATAATTAACACACATATTAACACATGATTTTGTAGTCAATCATGAATGTTGGTGACTTTTGATGGACCAGTGTTTGTGAATAAAATAGGTCGTCCTAATGAGCTATGTGTGTGTGGCTTCCTTCAATAGCTCAGTTGGTAGACCAGAGGACCATAACATGGTTATTAAGTCATAATCTTAGGTAGTAGATTATGCTGGCGTTGTATCCTTAGTTGCTGGTTCAAATCCAACTCGAAGGAAAATGTTAGCAAAGCCGTAAAATTTTCTTTTCAGTTCCACTACTGTGATTTTTTACTACTGAACTTTTTGCTGAATTGTGCTTATCATATAATCATGTTAAGATGTTGTAGTGCGACTACTTCAGCGGGTCATTGCACAGGGTTTGCCTTCGTTAGCTCAGTTGGTATTATGCAGGACTGTAGTGGGTTACTTGTAAATTTTTACGCAACTGGTTAAAGTCTTGCTTGAAGGAACCCTTTTTGTTATTATTAACTAGTCAAGACACGGTTTACTGCAGTAAGCCTATACTACTACTCCTGACACACCACAACATCAAGCCCACTCAAAATAATTTCTTCCCATGAATTCCTGTGAACCAGTGGAAAATACCAGCTTTATGTCTTTATATGTCTGAATTTCTTCCATTTTTTTCATTACAAATTTCACAAGAACATTTTAGAAGTGGAGGTTTACTCCGTATAAGGTCTTTTATTTTGAAAGCTGAGCAGCTTCTTTATTCTGTTCCTGTGTCTGACTTTCTGCCCTCTTCTTCTGCTCTGCAGTTATCTGTAAAAAACAAAACAAAACCAAAAAACAGTACTAGTGTCTGGGCTTGTCAAACATAATAAGACCAAATAAACCAAACTTAAGAAGGTAATTATGCCAGTTTTGAACCTATGGAATTTATCTAAACACTCACTACAATCCTCTGCTCTTCCAGCTGAGCCGTCAGAGTGATGCTGCATAGAGTTTCAAATACAGCTGTTGTGCACAATACGGGGGTGTTGTTTCAGGAAATCCCTTTGCTTACACATTCACTGAACATCCACTGTTTCTGTGTCATCAGGTATGACGAAGAGCAGGCGCAGAGCGAGAATGCTGAGCGTGACCTGCGGAGCCGTTCCGGTCAGTCACTTGGGTCAAAGGGCACCAAGGGGAGTGCAGGCGTTCGCCCCACTGCCGCCACCTGGAAGTAAAGCGATAATTTTTCCCTAAAATTGACTTCCTGTACAACACTCCAGGGACCTTCTGTGGTGAACCACTTGGACTTCTTTTTTTTTTAGCACATTGGACAGATGCTCCCTCCGTCCACATTTCACTGACTGTGGCACAGGGAGCAATGGCACTGCTGCTCAGTGAAGAAAAATCAGCTATGTGCTCACATTGAGAAGGTTGAAAAGCTTGTGTTTGTCACTGTTTATATGAATGTAAAACAAAATAAGTGGAACTGACAGTGCTCTGACAGGTTTAAGGTCAAATCAAGTAGGTCAAATATCACATACAGCAGCGGTTTCCACACTTAAGACAAGTGCTGATGAAATCTTCGGAGATGGACATGAAGGATTACTATGCATGACATTGGATTGCTGACACTTTAACTTGACCTTCCACACCGGTGCTAATGAGAACATACACTGTATGGTAATGAAGTGGTATAAAGTTATCAAATAGAAGTGATTTAAAGATTTAATTTATTAAAAGGCAGTCGATAGGCAGAATTAGCAGTACTAAATGTTAACAGACTTTATTCATTTTTTGTACGTTCATTATCAGTATGTTTTGCGGGGTTTTGATGATTGTATTCCTCTTGCACTTTATTTCTTTACATGTGCTTTAAAAAGTATGTCTCATTTCGAGTCTGACCCGTTGTCACATCTGCTGAAAATTTAAATGCTAATTATATGTGTTGGGATGTTTTCTTATTGCCTGCTCATTTCCTTCAACTACTAAAAAACTGAAACACTGATGAAGAGTTATCGTCCATCTTTCTGATAACTGGATTTGGGGCTAAATGATATTGGCGACAAGCTGAGAAATAAATCTTGGTCTTTTAAAATAAAGTTACAAAACTCCCTCTTACCTTACTGATTCTGTTTTGGGCTGCTGCTAACATTTTTTCTGTAATTTTTTACTTTTTCCATGAATTCACTAATGACTTTGCCTGTGAAATGATATAAGATGTATTAGAATGAATTACAGAAGGTGTAACTTGAAAAGGTTTTCAAAAGTTCTGCATTTATTACTACTTCCACTTCTAATTCAAGTCAACAATCAGGAGTATTATCCATGATCATTTTCTCCAAAAAGCAACGAAAAGACAGTGAAAGGGTTTAGAGAATAGTGTCTGCCATCAAATTGTGATTAAACAAGGTTGAAACAGTATGATTCAGCTCTGTCCTGACACAGTGTCCTTTGTGCTGTTTTCTGTGTAATTAAATGCTGCTTTTCTTTAGTTGCATTATTTGTGCGGAGTCATGATTTGAAATAACAAGCTGTGTAAAAAAGTACACCTTTCTTTACTTTACTAAATTCATTCTGTTTAAATAAAAAGCTGTCAGGTTACTGTTAGGGGGAGGGTTGTAGTCTTTGTTGAAAATAAATGTGTAATCTAGAGAATAATCAGAGGTCAAGCCTTCAAAAAGCCTAAGACCTATATGTTCTTGCTGTTGCCACAGCAGCAAAGCAGGTCTCTGCATGGTACTGTTTTTTGGTTATCAGCAGGTTGTCAAGTGGTGTAAGCTGTACATGCTGTGGCCTGTGATTTCTGACTGAAGTCCCCAAAGTAAACACTCTGTTTTTACGAATCAAATTTAAATTTAGAAACCAAATTTACTGGAAGGTTAGATTCCCACGGCTGCTTGTCTTTAACCCCTTTACAAACTTTTGTGAACAATACATGAACAGAAACTCCTTTAAATGTTTTTTGCTTTTATATTTCAATAAAATATCGTGCTGTTGATGCGCTGATAAACAGTTATGGTTGCAATTTGTCAATTTGTGTGTATTGACCCTTCAACAATAAGAGCAGTCAGTTTATTTGCATGTCATATGTCATCTGCTGGTGTGAAAGAAATCTATTGTTCATTGGAAAGTGACCATTGCACATCTCTGTTAATCATATCTTAGCTCAAGTTACAGAATTAGTCAATGGGCTTTACATGTGTTATTTTGGTGGAAGCACAAGGCGGTTATAACTTCCTATTTCTGAAAAGCCATCTGTGGTTGTTTATTTTTTTTAATCATCTTTCATTGATAATATTTTTTCACGGATTCATTATCTGAATAAATATTTGTAAGAGGATGAAAAAAACATGCCTCCTCCGATTCCACAGTGTACTTTCTGATTTTCAGAGGAGAATTTGTGTCATTCTGTTGCTGATTCATTTTAATAAAAAAAAAAACATGGATATCGTCAGCAGCGATACATAGGAACAGAGGCCAGCAGCACCCAGTTCTCATATCTGGTGAGATTTAATTAGAGTCCCCCCCAAAAATTACCCCAAACAGCAGTAGATGTGCTATATTGTTGGCTCTTTGTACCTCCGTATCTATTGTTTTCAGATGACATGGTCTGGAGCGCCACAGACCTCACAGTGGGAACTACTAACTTTTCATAAATAGTAATCTAAAAAAGTTTTCTGGGGAATGTGACGTCAGAATACGCGTCGCGCTCGTTTGCATAAGAAAATCTATCTTGACTAGTCCAGCATCGGAAGTCATGTGATTTCAAAATAAAGTGTGTGACACCGAGACTATCGAGAAACAAATGCACCACTTAGGTTGCCTAAACAGAATTCATCTCTGCTAAACATTTTTTTCCAGATTAGTTTCTTCAGATTACAAGTGCAATATTATAATGAGGCCACAAGTAATTTTTTTCTGGTTTAAAATAAGCCTTTGAGGGTTGACTCGCCCTATTGGTCCACATACAGTTAAGGCCAAGTGTCTTTTCTTTTTTTTCTTTTTGCCATTTCATTAATTAAAATGTATTTTAAACCTGTATAAAAATATTTTTGGAGTAAATCATTTAAAAAATATATACATAAATGAAAAATCCTCCATATACATATATGAGGGAAAGAGAGAGAGAGAGAGAGAGAGAGAGAGAGAGAGAGCGAGAGAGAAACATAGAATACATTACCACCATGACCATGATTTACTTGCAGTGTTTCTCTTTAATCTGAAGACATACTTTATATGAAGATTTTGGAAGTGGCTGATCATTGGAACTGTGGCTGGATGACAATCTCTTGTATAATTTTATGTAAATACCATGATAGTGTGCTGTTTAAATCTAATATTTATTATTATTTATTATTTATTTGTATTGTTGTGGTGTGTTTTATGGTATAGCATCTTTGTTTTGAATATGCTATAACCATAAAATTTGTTTACATACTTATTTTATTTTCCAAAAAAAACCTTGTTTTTGTTAAAAGTTGCAAACATATGAGCACAAATATTTTCAAGCGAAAGCTGTAAATTCAAACATTATTTATGGAAAACAAAAAAAGGACTTTTTTGTTATGCATTTCATTATTTAATTGTTTTAAAGATCTCACATGAGCTGTTTGCTCAATAAAGTGTGTAATTTAAATTAAAGAGGTCTCCTTCAGCTCTATGATCTCTGTGAAACTCTGCTTGGCGTTATATATACGTCATCGCCTGTCCTCGCAGTCTTATTGTGAAAATCTTGACCGGATGTGCAGGGTCGTCTGCTTATAACTGACACGGCTATTTCAGTCAGTTGATCCATGGTGCCGCTGCTGAGCAGAAAAACGGCGAAAAGATTTGTAAATTGGTACCACTGGGACCAGTAACGCTTCATTGGATCATAAATCCTCAATAGGACCAGTTTAAGGTAAGTTTACATAGATACTTTTATGTTGTGCTCTATTACTAACTTACATTTACTAACTGAAGGGGCTGTGGCTTATTCGCTAATGTTGGAGCTAACTGAGGGCTAACTTTATTAATTCGCACTTGAAGGAAGTTGGCTTTACAAACACGAGAACCGGTATTTAGTCGTGGGAAAGGTCAGATAATGGTAGCGCTAAAGTGGTTTCAGGTGTGTCATGGACTGTAAAAGTGAAGTTGAACTAGTTCACCACTGACTATTATCACGGTTGCAGTAACTTGGATATTCCGGGGACCTGTAGTAAGACTTAAGCCAGCACAGTTAAGTGGTAATGTACTAAATGTCACCGTGATTTATGTGGGAATTTATGTTATTGTTATAAAGCAGAGTCGGTCAGCTGCTTTAAGCTGTTTCACCTCAACTGTTCTCACGTTTTTGTAATGCGAGTTTAGAGCTGAAGTGGTAAAGGGCGGGGCAGGTTTCGCAAGTAAAGATAACCTCCTAGCTTGCACGCTGTGCTCGCAGCATTACATAATTTTAACATTTTCCGTGGAAACTAATAGATTGGTATGTTTGTCTGAGCTCTGACACATGCCCTCTTGATCTGCTCTGCTCAGTTTGCTGCAGTGTCATCTGGCTGCCAAGTTCTGCCCTCCTCCACTCCTGTGCTGCACATATCCCGCACATATCTGTGTCTATATTGCTCAGAGCTTTGGGGACGGACTATAACAAAACACCTAATGGTCATGACATTTGCCATGAATGAGTGGAAGTTATCAGTCATCATGTAGCAGGAGAATTTAGAGATGGATACTAAGGCGGAGATTTGAGGTCCTTGTGTTTTGTATGTGTAGTTTTGTTGTCAGGGTAAAGCAGTAGTGAAAATGCACCTGGTTCCTTTTTTTATGGGGGGGGGGAAGACATCCAAAATGATTGGACCTTCACATAATCAAGCTAAACTTAGAATGGGTGTTCCAATTCAGGCTGAGGACACTTCACTGCATTTTGAGGTACTGTTGTTGGTGTATTCCCACGAAGAAGTTAAATGACTATGGGCCTGCAACACTTAATGAGACTATCTTTACTAGAACTAGAATAAATAAATAATATGCTACTGAGTTCATCTCATAACCAAACTCCCCCGTGTTTTCACAGTCTCTTACTCTTGTGCTCCTCGACATCATGATGGGTGTTTTGTGCAGCTGTTTTTCCTCTAAATAAGAAGTTTTGGTGGCCACCAAATATATTTGGGCTTTCCAGGGTTGGTTAAAGAAAAGTAACTTTATTTTTTCTCTAAGTAGCATTTGCATTTACTTGGGCATAAAATCTGTGCCCAAGAGGACTTTTACATTGGTGTTTTTTGACTGAAGGCTTTCTTTTGGTCCTCTTGACTGAAGCAGTGAATGTAAATATTGTGTTCGTAACTGGTAGATAATTGAGTTTTAAATTGAATTAATCGCCCAGACCTAATTCAGTTCAACATAATCCTTATTTATTTTAGATTAGGACTTCTTATTACAGTTTAAAAAAGAGTTCTTTCTGTCTCCCTTTATACCAGCCTTCTTCTCTTTAGCTTCCCCTTGGAAACAGAAGATTTGGGGCTTCTATGAACACCTGGATGGTGCCTGAAATTACCGTATTAGTGCTATCCACTCTCTGACGTGATGTATAGGAAGAAGCAGGAAAAACAACCCACTGGATGAGCATTTGCCATTATAACAGTTAGGGGTGTGCGATATGACCAAAATCTCATATCCCGATATAAGAATTCTATCGTCCCGATAACGATATAAATCACAAAAATGTAACACTTTCTGTAAATTCTGTGAATCTCGGGCAGCTCGCCTGCCGGAAGTGTTTCCAGCTGCGCGTCATGTAGCTGGAATCAAGTGTTTTAACAGATGCATGAAACTAAATTTTTAGACATTAGTTGTAACAGCTGCCGTTTTTGTTTTTTTGTTTTTTGTAAGTATTTATTACACAGCGTGCTGCGGGGAAAAGCCTCTAAGGTTTGAGTCTAAGGCTTTGTTTTGTTTTTTTTGTTTTTTGTTTTACTTCTCATCCGTAAATAATCTGCTCTTTCACGTGATTCAGTTTATTTTGAAAAGTCTCAACAGGATCTTGAGCTTTATTGTGAAAGGTTTATGTGGAACATAAACAAGCGGACACGTGATGGTGTTACCTTCGTTGTTGCTAACCACAACGCATAAAAACAGACGCTTGTCCATCCATAGTGTGGTTACATAAAATATAAGAGAAAGAGAGAAGTTTAAGAAATTAATATAGCCACTAGAATGACCATCAAAACGATGAGAAAATATTGCCATAAACAGTTTATTTTCTGACACCACGAAACAAACGTAAAATGAAATGATAGCTGTTTTTATATTGTCATCCGATATATATTGTTATATCAACAACACTAATAACAGTATGTAAAGTACAAAAAATAAGTATTGCTTCTTTTATGCCAATCCACTTATAAACAAAAATAAGGATAAGAAATTGATTTGTAACAGTTGGTAGATTACTTGTTTGCGGTTCTTTGCTGTAGGGCTGCCACGATTAGTCGACTAGTCACGATTACGTCGACTATCAAAATCGTCGACGACTGATTTAATAGTCGACGCGTCATTTGAAGCTTTGTAAGATCACAAAAGACGCAGGAATAAGTAGTAGGATTTAAGAGTGTAATAACGGACTGAAACAGAAGATGGCAGCACTGCATGTACAAGGATGCCAGCTGCCGTTAAACCCCGAAGAAGAAGAAGCGGTGTCCCAGAATTCATAGCGCAGCCCAGCTCAGTTTCCAACAATGGCGGCAGCTAGTTAGTTTTAATATTACTCTTATTATTCTTTCTGGGTCACAAAATAAATGTTTAACGTATATTTAGGTGAGAATGTAACTGTGTAAACCTCAAATATCTGCTCAGTTTATCAAGACACCATATATTTTCAAAAGCGCTCCGATGTTTTCAGAGACATCTGTTACCCACTAGCTCGATAGCTAGGCGGGGGCAAGGCTCACTAGAGCCGTGAGAACACCGGACTCCCAGCAGATCATTTTCAAACGCACCGCTGTCTTTCGCTGCTCAGGTTAAACATTATATATAAGTCACTTAGATAACTTAAAAATGTTATTGTTTGGCTTTTTTTAGTTTTTTTTTTTTTCTTGGTTAATTGGTTTTGGCTGAGATTAAAGTTATAGTTTTTAAACAGCTGAATAAACGTCAAGCAGAAAACTGATTATCAAAAATGTGAGATGCTGGAGAATATTCTCCGGTGTCCCGTTATATTTTAGATAGCATGGAGTTTATTAAACTTCACCGAAACAATCTGTAAATTTCATTAAAATTTATTAAACTATAATCTTGTCTTTATTTTTAGTTAGCACATACCTTACACACTTAAAGCTGTAAGCTAATGATAGTTCTATAAGAGCAGATGAATGCTTGTGCAGTAAGCTGTACGTTTTACGTCCAATGGATGCATGATCTGATTAGTCGACTAATTGCAAAAATAATCGGTGACTAGTCGACTATCAAAATAATTGTTTGTGGCAGCCCTACTTTGCTGAAGACTTTGCATACTGCTCATAATGCAAGACTGGGGCTTCCACAGGAAAACATGCCTGGTGGTGATGTAACAATCTCCTCTTTCCCTTTCATGTAATACTGGATTTCCCTCCATTATGTTTCTCTCCATGCTGCTGGCATACCGAGTGGAAAGTGCCTGAAATTGTGGAACAAATGCCATTGTTTTTCCTTGTCCACTGAGCAACAGGGGGACTGATCAGTGATGTCGAGGCTACAGTTAACTGGGTGTTGACGGACCAGCGGTTTCATTGTGTAGAGATCTGAGGCTTCTTAACTATAGTTAAGTTCTACCAGTGATGTCTGTAAGGGCCACAGATGCTGTTCTGGAAAGGCATATTCCTTTAAGAGCAGCTGTTGAGCTCATGTGAGGAAAGGAGGGCAGAGTTGACTGAGAGTGATAGATATTAAAGGTCATGGCCTGTGATTTTATTTATTTTTATTTTTTGGTGGATACTACTACTACTCCTGAGTGCACAAGTTGTTTTTTTCTTTTTTTTCCCTCCTTCTTTAGCACAGTTGGTATTAAACAATGCCCTGCAGTGAAAGTGCAATATTGAAGGGATAGATCAGCTCAGCTGCACTCTCCACCACAGAGATTGCAGCTGCTTTGTACTACAATAAAGTAAAATGGAAACATGCAAAACCAAAAAAAAAAATCACCCTTGCTCTGGTAAGTAACTTCCATGTGATTAGCTTAGAGCACATATTTCATTTTTTGCATTGTTTTGTGTATGTCATGTATGAAAATGGTTGAAGTTGCTCAAACATTTAGTCTACCCTCCACATAAAAAAAGTATCATAGCTTCACAACTAATCAATTTCCTGGTTCTTTTACCTCTTATGGTTTGCAGTAAGGCTGCCACAAACGATTATTTTGATAGTCGACTAATAAGATCATACATCCATTGGACGTAAAACATACAGCTTATTGCACCAGCATGCGTCTGGATTTGTATAACTACCATTAGCTTACAGCTTGAAGTGTTTAAGGTATGTGCAAACTAAAAATAAAGACAAGATGATAGTTTATTAAACTTTTAATAAAATTTGCAGATTGTCTCAGTGGAGTTTAATAAACTCAGCCGTCTGCTCCTTGCTATCTAAAATATAACAGGACACTGGAGTAAATTCTCGACCATCTCACAGTTCCGTTTAATCAGTTTTCTGTTTGACGTTTATTCAGCTGTGGGAAAACTATAACTTTAATCTCAGCAAGACCGATTTACTAAGGAACAAATAAAACGCTAAAAAAAAGCCAAACAATAACAGTTTTAAGTTATCTAAGTGACTTATATATCATGTTTAACCTGAGTAGCGAAAGTCCGCGGGGGGTTTGAAAACGATTTGCCGAGAGTCCGGTGTTCTCGCTGGCTCGAGTGACCACTTAAACCCCCCAGCTAGCTAGCC